TGGAACCTCTTCCCTTTCCCATATTGATTCTAGGAGTCTCGTCAACTCCAAGACTAACGACTCATGGAGCAATAGAAAAATGAGATAGCAATTGTGGGATTTGAAAACACTAAAAACACTAAAACAGAGTTGTTCTAGTGCACAGTCATCATTATCGTAGAGTGTAATGCAGATTGGGGTGATCTTCACTGANNNNTGATCCCTGTCAAATGCATAGTGCATATAAGTTAAATGAGAATGTGTAAGTGTATCGCCGTTTTTCTGCTCGTTGACAGGACGGAGCACAACAATCGCTTCCGATGTGCTCCGTTTTCCAAGTTGCACGTTAAAATAACCTGCGAGCACAACTATATCAGAGCTTCAGCTCAACCGAATGAGTTAAGTGAGTTTGTCGTAGTACTCCTCTTTTTGTTTGTCAGAATTGCACTTGGTCGATGCATACGCTAATAGACTTTTGGACTTGCATCGCACATAAGCGATCTTAAACAGAGATCCAATTGATTAGTGATGCTTTGGTTCTATTATTGAGTACAATGCCTACTCCACACTGACCTACTAAACGAGCTTCGTCGTCACCTGATGTGCGGAGGAGCCTTGTGGGACCGAGCTTCGTCTAGCATGAGGGTGTGAAAACCCGAAACAGGACACTGGGTCGCATAGGTCCCGTTGGGCTCCCTGCATGGAGATCCGGGACCATGGTAACCGGTGGTCAGAGACACTGAGCGATATGGCTGGATGGCACAAATAGTGGCGCTCGTGCATCTACTCATTATTCTTGCAACCCCGCTCTTTATGAATCACTTCCCTCTTGAATTTGCACTTAACGTTCCAATCCTCATTCTACCCTTTCATCCAAATGGACAACCAAAAGACAGCAACCAAAACCGGTACATGAAATGTTTTGGTTCTTGATTGTGATTACTGAAACTGATGTGCAGAGTAAGTACCTCGAAGACAATTCCGGTGAACTTAAGTGTGATCCTGGATTCGCATCTCAGATACGCAGCAAACCATAAATCACCGTACAATAATCTTTATAGAAAGAAACGGGTCCACGATTTGCTAGTGGGTGGGATAGTGTTGGGTTGTCCAACCCAGAATAAATGAATCTTCTTGGGTAAATCACCACAGCCGCCTTCGCCTAACCAAAGCCAAGTCAGCGGGCCGGCGTGTGAAAACTGCAATTCATTGGGGTTGGTGTCCGGTTCATCGTATCATGCGCCCTTTTCATGGGGTCAAACGTCCAAGGTGCCCAGTACACCGCAATAGCCAATTAAGCCGGTAACTACTACCACGACAAAGAAAGGGATGTGCGTGGTTCGGAAGCCAGTTCTTGGCTGGTTTAGAATCTAGGTTTTAGCCAACACCCCTGAGTGAACTGCCAGTGGTTTCCCGACCCGGTTATAGCCCTAGATATTGACTTTTCGTTCTCTCACTTTGGTGACAAAACACCGCCACGAGAAGGGAGCGAGTACGGCTTCCGTAAGAGAAGCCTAGTCGTATGGAAGCATTTCTCAAGATACATGGAAGGGGTGACCGGCCGCAACCCGAGACAACCAACCCCCGATCATACTGAGGTTTTCAAAAACC